CATATTTTTAAATATTAAAATTTTTCAATCGTATATCTATGATGATTCCTCAGGACATTTCCCCCCAGGACAATCCCCCCCCCCCCCCCCCCCCCCCGACGTTTCCCCCCAAGAAATATATATTCGTATACAAATATAAAGTACTGTAAAAACTCTAAAGTTTAAAACATTCCATCCATTTTATTAACATGTAATGTTATAATGTATCTTCATCATGAAACATTATTTTATAACAAATTCCTTTTCACTGAGTACAAGTACAGAAAGTTTTATTAAATATCTAATCAAAGTATAACCACCTATCCTTCAGGTAAAGGTGGTGTAAACAGATGAACAGGTAAACAGATATTTTGTGAATAGGTTCAGTGTGGTGGGTAGGTGGGTAGTGGTCAAGCAATTCAAAGTGACAAATAATCAAAGGGATACCTGGATAATCGAGATCTGTTTGCCCCACCTTAACCTAGAGATACACCTTGATTTAAGACTTACTCAATCAAGGGGGGAATAATAAAGCAATTAAAAGTAAAACAATTCATCAAAAGGTTCCCTGGATGAGTGAGATCGTCCGTTTACCCCACCTTTACCTGATGATATAGTTTGATCAGATTTTTAATAAAATGTTCTATGCTTCTTTCCCTAAAATCTTCTGTACTTGTTCTCCACGAATATAATTTGTTTAGTGAAATGAATATTATCTATCCTCGAGTTGCATCATCACACTAAGAAATATTCAGAAAATGGATAAAAAAATTTGAATATATATATTAACCTATATATATATATATATATATATATCTTCGGGAGGAGGGAATCGTCCAGGGGGGGGGGGGGGGGGGGGGATTGTGCGGGAGGAAGGATTATATAAAAGCACTGTGCTATATGACAAGCTTTCATTGGAAAAAAGGTTGAAGCCTTCCATCAGATCTCTTTAAGGCTTTCAGTAATCTTCTAGAGGTGTGCTTAGTCATCATCGTGTTATCAGTGACAAGGCATCAGCAACAGTGGAAGGGGCTTCTGTATGATTGCTCAGGTACACCTTTCTTATGCGCTGTTTTTTATTGGATTACCATGCGTGTATACATTATTGTTCGCCCACAGCTGTGGGGGATTCCCTCATGTACCCCTGATCTTAATGATTGGATACCCTTTGTTGTCATTTACGGTAGAACGGGTTTTGATCCTTCAAGGAAGGTGAGGCTTTTTAGACTTATTTAGGTACAATCTACTCCCGAGTAAATAAAGTGCAGCAATTTTGTGCTCAACACTAATATTTTGTTTTGTGAAAGCCTGTACTTGTTAGTTCAATTACTCCCGCTCTGATTTTTTTTTTCGCCAAATATATTTCTGCTACATACAAATTAGCAAGGAAGTAGCATCTCTCGAGAAATTTTATGTTTTTTAAGACGATGCACGGATTGTTTTTAATACTTCCTTCTCTCCTCTCCCATCTGGATGCAGAGAACGACAGTGACATGAGGTACCAGGGAGCCCGTACCCCAAAAAAAGCAAGTCCCAATTTGTCCTGACATCCTTAACATTTTTCGAACAACCTCGTTCACCAATGCATACATGACAAAGTTTCAAGGGCAGAAATATGCTATGTAGATTTGGCGGCTTTTTCCTTCTTTTGCTCCAAGCCTAGAATGTACATGTATACGAGTATATTTATTTTAAAAAATCTTTGTTGAAGAATGTCTTAAACATAATAATTTCTTTCATAAAAGATAAAAAAATTAAAGTAAGAAATGTTTATATCAAATCTCTCTCTCCCATTGCTGAGCCGCTTTAGGTTAATCGAGGTTCATATTGTAGTAATAAAGAATACTGTATTAATACAGAACACTGGATACAAGAGTCGGCAAAGGCGAAAAGAAAGTGACGTCACAAAATATGCATCTATTCATGGCATCTACATATCAAAATTTATTTACTCAAAATAAATTATATTGTCACACAATTGTTACAAATATCCACACAGTTTTTCGATCTAATCTACAATACGTAAGCCATAAGTGCATGTTACAAAACAGTTCAAAAACCAAAAGCCTCAGCCACATAACTTCAGTCATCTCGTCTTCATCAGCTTGCTCAAGTGGTTTATTCACATCAAAAATTGCGTCGGAAAGACGATTCCAGAACAGACAGAGTCCGTCTGGGTTCTCAGTCCACTTTATATACCCTCAACAGTTTAAAATCAAATCCAATCAGCTACATGAGTTCAGTCGTGTCATCTTTCTCGGGTTGCACAAGTATATTATTCTCATGAAAAATGGCGTTGGAGAGGCGTTTCCAGAACAAACGTTGTCCATCGGGGTCCTCAGTCCACTTTATATACCCTCTTGCTCTAATGTACTTTCGCAGCGATTTCGTCATAGCATCAAATGGCACAGGTTGAAACATAACCGGGATTACTGATTGATAACCACGAGCAAGAGACATCTGAAACTCAAACTCACACCAAGGATTGAGAACGTAGCTCTCAGACAGAACAAGCACTGTTTTTCTGCTGTTTTCCACGGCCTCTACGATGGCCTCAGAAAGGGAAGCGCCACCAATGAAATTTCTTTGATCTATGATGACATCAAGTTGATCCTCGTCTTCTAGATGACGCAACAGCACGTGCGTTACCCAGTAATAATCGTTGTCGTCATAGGAGGCGTACACGTGACCAGGTGTTGCAGTAATGACACCTCTCTTTCGAAAATGGCGGCAAAGAAGGAAGAAGTGGTATCTATAAAATTGGGAGAAAAACAAAAACATGATCGGTAATCATTGCAAATATTTTACTGAAATGTCGCACTAAATGACATAGAAAATGGCGGCGAAGAAGGAAGAAGTGGTATCTATAAGATAGGGAGAAAAATCAAAAACTTAATCGGTAATCATTACAAATATTTTACTGCAATGTTGCACTAAATGAC